ACTGTACGTCCATACGTTTTCATACGTAAACATGTTTTTATACGTATTATACTTCCATATACTGCACGTAGTTATACGCAGCACATTACGCAAAATTGTGTAACGACATTCAACAAAACTATTGGGCGACACATTCCAGCTGTCACTACCATCGACCAACGTCGCGCGCGGAGGCGCTTCAAAATATTTTAGTGAGGACGACGTTTGCAATTTTTCTGTCTCCTGTCTTTCGCTTTTAGAGACGCTAAAAAAAAAAAACACCATCCTTGTCGTCGATTGTCAGCAGCCCGATTTCGTCAGCCTTGACCGTGACACTTTATTGTAATAAGATATCTATTATACACAAATTAATATACTCATTAATACGCGTATATCAATAAACCCACATATACGTGGTTTTCGTGCCAGTTATTTTGGGACGGAAAACGTCAAAAGAGGAAACTCGAAGACGTCGCTGGAAAACGTGCCATTCACAAGATTTCAACTCGGGGTCAATCGGAACCAACTCCCAAGTAACGGAATACAGGAAAGTCGCAACAAAGATGAAGACGTCGAACACAAGTAGTGTCTTACTATCCAGTGGCGTGGCGTGGATTCGTCAGTGGTGTAAGCAATCACCAAAAATTATAACTACCTGTAACTCCATTTTTTTTACTACTTCTAGAAAGCCACTTGCAATTTATTTTACTGATTTTACCTTACAAAAATTTAACAACTACATATATTCTCCCCCCCCCCCCTAAAAATATATCTAAGCAATTTTTGGTTATATTATCATAATTAAAAAGTATAGCAATAACAGTACTTTTATTTTAATAAAAAAGGAATCTTTATTTTGTACAATTTTATTAAATAACAAGTTAACAAGTTTACTACATTATACTACTTATAAGACAACTCGATTCTTCGATTTTGTTTTAGAAAATCGTTAATCACATCGTTATAAAAATTTGGTTCACATTTTGTAGCCATTAAAACATCTTTTTCTATAGAAAGTAAAGATAAATTTGAAAGTCTATTTTGACTTTGATTATTTCATAAATAAATCTTTATCCTCTTTAGAGCTGAAAAAGATCTTTCAGCAGTAGCACTGGTTGTAGGAATAGTTAAAACTAATGCACATAATTTACTAACTTGTGGTAGGACAGTTTTTAAATCTGTTTCTCTCAAATATTCCAGAAGTTTATAAATATGTGTTTTATTAAACTGATCAGATGAATAAATAATTGATAATTCACTTTTCAGCTTTGGAAATTCAAAATACTGGCCATATGTCTGTTTAAGTGAACTAAATTTTTCCAGAGGGAAATAATCTCTGTAATAAGAAAACTTTTCAAAATCAAGTAAACCCATAAATTTTAAATTGTGTACTTCAGAAAATCGTTCATCAATTTTGACTAAAATAGTATCTATTATTTCATAGAATAAACGTTTATAGTTAGTTTTTCCATCTACTGATACTTGTACCATTCGAGACCTTTTACTTTTAGAGGGGACTTCTTTATCTCTTTCTAAATCATTTACTTCATTCCAAACTAAATCAAATTTTAGCCTATACTCATTTAATTGTTTCTTAACACGTTGATGGACAGTCTTGTGGCCGCCGTCGAAAAAAAACTATCCTTAAAACGACTCTTTTCATTACTGCTATAGCAGTAATATTTTTAGTACTGCTATAGCAGTACTGACCTCCGACATCACATTTTCAATTTAAAAATTACTGCTATAGCAGTATTACATTTAAATGTTAATATTACGAATTGTGTATCCTGTTTTGTGCCAATCAAATGAAAAAAAAACAATAACTGTATATATCGATAAATATTATCGAAATATAAATTATAACTTATCAGCTGAAGAATAAAAATGGAAAATACATGTATTTGTATTATAAATACGTGTATACATAAGCTAAAAATAGAGTGCCCGATGGCCCGATGAGATGTCCGGGGTCAGTAAAATTTCCTTTCTCATAAGAGACCATTGAAAATTTCACTGCTATAGCAGTAATGACACTTTTTGGACGGTTTTTATATTACTGCTATAGCAGTAATATTTAAAAACGACCCCTGACATCAACATTTAATATTACTGCTATAGCAGTAATATCGGCAACTGTCCACCAACGTGTTAAATTCATTTATTTTTTGAGTACAATATGAAATGTCAAACATTTTTTTTTTTGTAGTACATCAAAAAGATACCTTGCTAAATGTAGAATTTTACCAAAAATAATTAAATTAAAATTAAAATCAAAATCATCTAAAGTCAAACAAAACCCTCTAGCACATGTTAATGATTCAGATGATCTGCACTAACATCAGAAAACCCAATAAACCTTTCTTGAACACCCTTATCATTAACATATCTAAATACTGTTGTGAGTTGTGATTTTTTAGTTATGTCAGTTGTTTCATCAGTAATTACTGATAGAAAGTCAGCATTTTTAATCTTTATAATTATAATGTTTTTTATGGAATTTATCAAATCATTTTGTATGTCATTTTAAAGGCCTGTAAAAACAGAGTTTGAAATATGAAATTTTAATCTATCATCAACAGAAGCGAGTAAATTAAATGTTTCAACAAAATTACCTTTATTTAAAGAATTTGATTTTTCATTATGACCCCTAAAAGCTAATTCTTGTTTAGCTAGAAAACAAGTGATGTCAATTAATTTACTAACAATGTATCTATTATTATCTACTTTTTCATTATATTTATTTATGTTTTTTTTAAACTTTCATTTAAACAAACATCTATTCTCTTATTGTCAAAAGTTTTTAAATTCACCAAAGCTTGAATGTGTAATTGACTTGATTCATGTCTAGTTTTTAAGCCATGAAAATTAGACATATCAGTAAAACCATATTTTGACCAGATATTCGATTCACTATGTGAAAAAAGTACACAGGGCCAGCAATATAATTTATCCGAACAACCACAAAGCCAATCACAAGTTTTATAAAAACTTTCATTAAAATATCGGTAACAGTTTTTAGTTTTTGATTTCAAATTGGGTAATTTAGGAGCAGGCCTCCCTCTCAAAACAATACCCATTTTGTCTTCATAAGTATGAGCACCAAATGACTTGACCAGTAACCTATCTATATCACAGTGGAAGTTTGAAACATATTCTTGGGGTATTGGTGGTGATTCATTGTTTGAAACTGATGATAATTTTGTTTGAATTGGCTGGAAGTTATCGAGTACTTTTGAAATCAATGGATATTCTTGATTTGTTGAAACTAAATTTCCTCCTATAGCATAAATTAGAAAATATATTATAATACAAATTATGTTTTGAAACATTAGAAAATGTATTTTTATATTAATTTGTTATATTTTAACTAGAAAAAATAAGTTAAATCTGGTTCCAAGATCTATCAGGCTATAGGCACACAATTTGCTAATCCCGCCCTGAATGTAGTGTACAAAAATATTTAAACTATAGATGTAATTATATTGTGTTGTAATAATTTCATATCTATTGAAAAATATTAATAAGGACTTATTTATCTAGTAGTTACATACCTTTTAATCCAAGATCAGTATTTTGTGATGAAGTTGCGGATTCTAAAATTGGTGCACCACTAATTTCATTTGGCTCAACATTTTTATGAATCGCTGTAATGAGCACAATGATACAATTGAATATTTATTATCATATTATAAACTAGACCAAGTAAATATACACATTAACAACTAGAATACAAATAAAGCATGTATAGTTATTACTTACTTGTAGTTTTTGAAAAATAGCTTCTTATATTTTTATTTGTTTGTTTGGACTTACGTACAACGCATGACGATATGTGTAAAAGCCAATTATAATGGCTCATGTTACTTTCGAGTTTACCACACTAGCAAATTGTAAGACCTTCATCACTGATCGTAAAACAATTAAAAAATTTAAAAATATACATTTATATAAATAATGTTATTACCTACTTATTACGACTATTCACAATTCACTATTCAGACATTCAGTAATAACTAATAAATAATAATAGTTCGAAATTTGAAGTCAATAATTGGTCGATAACAGTCCCCAAGTCGTACCAACATAATTAGTAAATACTAATAAATATCATGATTTATTATATTATAGTCTTGTATAATGAAATCACGATGGCTGGTCGTGTATCACATTTAAAAGTTGCTTATATGTCAGTACCACCACTCCTATACTATTTCATATACTAATTCCATACAATTGCTATTACACTATAAACTGTAATAGACTTATATACAAAATAGTAAAGGGAATTGGAATCGCTTACACATACGTCATCTTTCTTATATTGTATAGAAAATGCATTGTACATTTGTGCAACGAACGTGCGTGTGCTGTTGCGGGGGTTCGAGGGACATTTTACCAAGTATTCTCGGCTTATCTCCCAACGCGCGTCGCCCGAAACCAACGATTTTATTTTTAGATGTCCAACAATAACAACAATAATATATTATTATATAATATATACAAATAAAACCATCTAATACCATATTACCATCAAGTAACAACAAAATGTAATTTATAATTTTAAATTATTATAACTCAATCGGCTTTAATTGAATTTTCATTTTTTCATTTTAAAATATACCCATTACGTTTTATAACTGAAAGTGTAAGCAATGCTTTCACTGCTTATAATAATAACTAGTAATTAAGTAACCTATGTCAAATAATTCAAGCAGTAGTGACGAAAGTACCCTTGATTCTATTGAAAAAGATCCTAATTTTGAATCTCGATATTTAAAAAATCTAGATAATTCCTCAGGTAATCGATCATTAAGATCTCAAAGTAAAAATATAAAAGACAACCCAGTATCTAAAAATTCTATTATTAAAACTACAATCACAGAACCAATTAAAACAATGGCCCAACACCAGTTTAATTATCTTTTGAAACTGCAATTAATATGATCCCAATTTTTGATGGTGAGAATCCACAAAAAATATATTCATTTTTAAATGCTTGTAAGTTTGTCATAAAAAATATGGAAGAAAGCATACAACCCATAATGTTAGAAGCGATCCAAACCAAACTGGTAGGTAATGCTTTCATGGTAACTCAACATAAGGATATTTCATCGTGGGAAATGCTAAGGAAAACTCTAGAAGAGTCGTACTGTGCCACACGCACACCAGGGTATCTGCTATTAGAACTATCTACAACTCGATATCGCCATGGCGAAACAATTCAACAATATACGTCGAGGGTAGAAAAACTGTTACATGAACTTTGCAACGTCAGTGTGAACGGAAAATCATCTACAGAGGCCAAAACCATTAACGACTTTATAAAAGAAACAGCTTTAACAATATTTATAGAGGGTCTACCAAATAGCATCAGAGGAATTATAAAATCTAGAAATTTACCAAGTATAGAAGAAGCAATTAAACAAAGCCTAGAAGAGGAAAAAATGTATCTGTCAAATAAAGACGCGCAACGTCTAATCCAGAATAAACAAAGTACCAGCAGTACCGGTAAATATTGCAAGAATTGCCATAAAAACAATCACAATACAAATGAGTGTAAGTATGCAAACCGTAACGTGGATACAGGTCAACGGTCTAAACCAATGAAAGAAAGTGATTACAAAAGTAACCAAGAGACTAAACAAAGGACCTGTGTGTATTGCAAAAAATCTGATCATGTGGTAGATGAATGCTATAAAAAGAAAAACGCAGACGCAAGGAGATCCAACCAAAGTACTCAAAGCCAACCATCAGTATCGAGAAACGACAAAGAACCGGGCACGGCGGGCATCCGCCCGGTTCGAGAACTAAAACTGATTGCCCAAAATCAAGAATATTAACTTTTAAAACCAAATTAACAAATAATCACGTCTCATGCGGTATAACACAGTGCGTCATGGGCTCCGCGAATTTATTCGTAGATACAGGTGCCGAACTCAACTTAATAAAATTGGACTCTCTGAAAGACAATATATTGGTATCGGAAACAAAAACCTACAACATGCAGGGCATCAATGACCAATTAGTCCGCATATTAGGTAGCACGGTGATAACGATAGAAATTAATGACAAAACATATGAAACGGAATTTCAAGTAGTTGATAACTCTTTTCCGATCACGGGAGATGGTTTACTCGGAAACCCTTTTCTAAAGGATAACGAAGTATTATACGTGGTAAGGAGAAATAACAACCCCAACAGACAACGTAAGCACGATATTATTTTTTAAACGATTACAAAACTTAAAAAATTGTAACTTTTCAAGTCAAAATAATTAAATAATTATGTTATTAAGAATTTATAAGTTTTTTCAAAACTTAAATCGGAGTATTTATAAGAGCGTACTGTTAAAAGTAGAATCGTGTCTTTAGGGCGAAATTTTTCTTTGCATTTATTTCGAACAATCTGTTTGACATGTGCCTGCGAAAGTGCGTAAAGTGTCCCAAACATAGTGACAAAACAAGTGTCACTAACCATTCTCAACCGACGCGGCACAAGCTAACCGTAGATAAGGGTATTATTATTAGGTATTTTGTAATTTGTATTTTACTGGGAATTGGCGGCTACGCCCAGGCTGACAAAATATAATTCAATACAATTATTATATTACCAAATATCAATGATTTAGAAGATTCAGTCATTAGTCATTAGACAATAGACAACCGTATAAAGAAGTAATAGTCGTCACTGTTTAGTTTGTGAACACCAATATAGTTCTACTGTTTAGTGAAGTTTTGTCTGTGCGGTATTTATAAATTAATAAATTGTGGAGTAGAATGTATAAAATGAATAGCAAGTACAAACCTAAGTATAGAAAGCCGTTATCTCACAGGAAAAAAAATAAAGGAAATGTAAAGGCATTTACTAAAACTACGTAAGTTGCTATATCAAAATAAATATATTATATACCAGGAAAAACCATAAAAATGGTCAAAATATTTTTTTATTTACATAATCTTTGGATAATTTGTATATAAGTGTTCTGTAAAAATGTCATAATATCATAGTATATACGAAAAGCGATTCTGAGCGAAGACTAAAATATAACAATATACCTACTCTAAAATGTACATAATATATCCACGAAATGCTTATAAATCGTGCCTATGTATTTTCAATATTTTTCAACTGCTATTCTATCAATATATCAGGAACCCTGTATTAAATTTTCAGACTTTTTGGACCGCCAAACAAAATTTTATTGATAATTATAAGAAATAATTAAAAAAATTGAAAACTGAAAATTTCTGTAAACAGCTCAAAACAAATCAAAATGTTTTCAAAATTGTATGGTGTATGGGAAATGAGAATATAAACATTCAGTGAAATTTTCATGCATCTACATTTATTCATTTTTGAATTACAACCAAATAAGAAAATCGCCACATGAGAAATCGAGTGAATATCTAATGTTGTAAAATTTATGAACTTCAAACTTACTAAAAATTTATTTTGACTTGCTTTTAGATATTTTATTTTTGATAAAATTAGAAAACTTATATTAAATCTTGTATTACATTTTAAAATCTTAGTTTAAAAAAGAAAATTTTTTATGAATTTCTAACTCAAAATAATTTTCAAATTATCGTCAGTTTTGCGTATTTTGTCAACATTTGAACTTTAAATGCTTAGAAAAAAAATTGTAACTATGGATTTTTAATATTTTTTATTTGCCTTTGAATCAATATATTTGGAGCCTTCTATTAAATTTCCAAGAATTTTTATCCAACAAATAAAATTTGATTGATATTTATGGAAAAAAAACCTAAAAAAATTGTAAACTGAAAATGTCCGTAAGCAACTCAAAATAAGTCAAAATATTTTAAAAACAGTATAGTATGTGAAAATGCAATCGGTTCTACTAATCCTTTAATAAATATCGCTAGAGTTTGTTCTCTTAATGTTTCATGTATAACCTTTGCTTCTGCAGCTTCTTTGCCTAATGTACTTACACTGCATAACTGATAATATAGTTTCTCTACTCTATGACAATAATCATTTACATCCTCATTGTGATACATTCTAATGGAATTTAATTGAATCTGTAAAGATGATGCCGTGGTCGTTACCTAAAATGCATCTGTTAAATAAGTTTTTATAAACTGCCATTTCGATACATTTTTGTATTAAATCATTTCTAATGCTCTGCCCGTTAAACGTGTGGTAATATATTTTACTAATGTTGGTGAACTCTCCGCGTCGACTAAGCTTATTGCCATATCGCATGCATTTATGAATTGATAGATATCGTCTATTCCTGTGCATAGTGGAATTAATTTAAAAGCGTCCTCTAATCTTATGACTACCATTTTTTTAGTGCGTGTTTTAGTTATAAATTCTAATGACTGATGTACAAAACAATCTGTAACTTGGCTACGTGTGATTACTTCTGGACTTGGGTTTTTACTTGCGCTATCTCCTAACTGAGTTTCTACTATAATATTCAACCGGGCTTTCTGTTGAGCTTCAAAATGGGCTTGGACTTCTTCCTGGGCTAAAGACTGGGCTTCTAACTGGGCTTCTTCGTTTACACTAGTGTCATACAATGAATTAGCTACGTTCAAGGGAGATGTACCTTCTTTGTCCATAAATTACTTAGCTACATATTTAATACGTTAATACTCATAATAATAATACTCAAAAATGCCTTTTAAATTCAATAATAACTTCAATAATACGCCCTCTAATAAATTCAAATAAACTTCAATAATACATACTTCAATAATAAAATGCCCTCAATAAATTCAAATAAACTTCAATCATAACATGCCCTTAATAAATCAATAATAACTTCAATTATAATCTTCAATAATAAAATATGAACTCAATAAATCAATAATAACTTCAATAATAATCTTCAAAAAAATATGCCCTCAATAAAATGTAATACGTTTTACACCATTATACTTATAATCAACTACTTAAATTTATCTAATATGTCTTAATTATGTTGCATACGTCTATGTAACAAATTTAAATAATTATTCACTTACAATAATGCTGTGTTCCTGGTTGCTGATGATGCTGATGGATTTGTTGGTACTGCGACGTGACTTATTTGATTGGGTAGAACACGATTGCGTATGTTCGTTATCGGCGATACCTTTTTAAGCAACACAATTCCGTACGATTTTACCTGATTTTTAACTACACGATTGCGTACGAAGTTTTAAGCGTTGTTGCCGATTTTCATACCGGTATACAGGGCCCCCACACGGGGGGTCTGATAGACCTCGAGTACAGGGACTACTTTAAGTTGAAATTAATTTGTAATTTTTGAAAATTTAGTAGATTTCACTTATTTTATATTAATTAATATTGTAAAATAACATTTTATGAAATATATATATATATATTATATAGTCATTCATTAATGATAGTTGATTAATGATTTACTTTTTTTGTCAATCGAATTATCAAGTAAGTTGTAAATGTATAGATTAAGTAATAGAACGATTACGCTGATGCAAAGTCGTTCAATTACAGCGATAATAATATATAGGTATAATATCTTTACTATTACGATAATTACGTATTAGGTATCTGCTGGTTTTTGGGTTTTTCGTTGATTTATACTGTAAGATTTCCTTTTTTCGCATATTTTTGCACATGTCTGTACATTGGACCTGAAAGCTTTCATAGGACTTATAACGGACAATTTCACAGTGCTCATCCTCCAACACATGTTGTTATTAAAATATTGAAAGAAACCCAAATGCAAACCAGATCGATAATACAATCAGTTAATAATGGGAGAGTAAAGAAAATGGCAAAAAAGACTTGAACAGGATTCAAAATACAATAAAGGATTATGATGAGTACAAAATTCATAAAAATGTTATTCAGTATTTAAAAGTTGTAGGTTATAGATGTCAAGGGATTCAAATTTAAAGATATTTAAACAATTTATTTACGATAATTTATTCGATATTTATTATATTATATTATATTATTATTTATTTTATATACGATGAAATTAGTAAATTTGAAAACGTTGCATATAATTTCCGCTTTTTGCTTTTTCCGCTTTTTTTTTAATTTCATACGCAATCGTCTCAATCGTGTTTATTTTTTATTTCAGAAAGGTACTTTTAACCCATCTACAAACATAAGCAATCGTGTTGTCAAAAAGGTCGAACGTACGCAATCGTGTTTTACTCATTTGATTTTTGATGGTTCTTCTTGGAGTTGTCTTCTCGGAAGAGTGATCAATTCTTCTTTGTTGACGATAGCCTTTGACGGTTTGCCTCCTTTGAAAGAAATCCTACCTCGACTGCGCCAGTGTTGCGTGCTGCCCTTCAGGAATCCAAAAGCTGATACACTTTTATAATAAACAATAGTCAATTTATAAAATAAATCAATTGTAGTTTTATTAAAACCAATAATAATTAATATAGTCGTGGTAAATTGTTGTGTCGTGAGTTGACTTGTTGTAGTAGCTGATAATCTCCGTGTAAGTTGTGTGTAATGGCTGGTGCATAAGCGACTCGCTCGGTCTTCGCGGCTCTGGTACATCTAATGTGTATTGGGGCCCTGGCCTCTAAATATACGAAGGCGACGTCCTTTGAATTGAGCGGCGTGTGGCATGTAGGCGTCCTTGGTAAGTTGTAGTGGTTTGGAGCGTTCATTCTAGCTATGACCACTTTTAGGTGCGGTCGACGAGGCCGCCTTTCACATAATTGGTTCTTGTTATTATGAGCGTTTACATGAATTGCGTAATCCCATTACAGTATTTACAAGTTTAGAACATTTTTTTTTTATCTGATTAGTGTTTATCATATTTGCATATTGTCGCATTCTCATAATTATATATTGAGATATTATGAACACTAGATTTTGG